TGATTTGTTTCAATTAATGCTGTTCCAGAGCAATATCTCTCAATACTTGTTTGACGATCAGATACAAATGTCAATCATTTAAATGTTAAACAAATATCATAATCATATTCCTGACATGTTTATATTCCAGCTATATTACTATAAACAAAACTATATATCTTAAATTTGATAACTAATGGGGACTGTGCCATGCATGGCTTGTCTAACATTCACATATACATTTACAAAAAAAAAATCTAATCATTGAACAAAACCAATATTGTATTATACATTCCTGCATTAGCTCCTGTTGGTCGAGTCAGTGTAAAAGTACATTGGGCTGACAGGATAAGGGTTATATTCTGCACATTTGAAATGATACGACTATGAAGTCACTGAGTTGTGCATGTCAATGTTACATACTTTGTCTGCCATTGTTGTTTCTTTGTAAAAGTTTAAAGAAACATCAGCATTTCAAGAAGAAAATCAAGGTGCCAACTGTAGTCAAGTCATCATGCTTCTCACTGATGGTGGTGAGCAGAGAGCTGAGGAAGTATTCCGGAATTATAACCTTCCTATTGAAGTAAGTACTACGGTATATTGATTAGATTCTTAATCCCTACTGTGAATACAATTACATATACTAGGTAATTTATCTACAAGTATATATTATTTTAAACACAGACTCTATAAGTCTATTCTTCATTATTTATATCTTTAATTTTGATTGAAGTCACAAAACATTATTAATTATAAACAAAGAGTCAGAATTGTACAAAAACTAATGATTCAAGGATTCAAAATAAAATATTAGCTTTTATTCAGAGATGCTCAATAAAAACATTGGTGAATTAATACATTGACGTTAGGTAATTGCTGTAATTATAAATTTTGCTGAGGGTAGCTTGGCTTGTATAAAATAAAATAATAATAAAAAAACAAAAACAATAACTGTAAGCAGCATGTAAACATGTTACCCAGTAAAACACAAGTATGGTTTAATCACATTACCAATGTTGTATCCTCAAAAGACTTCATGATAGTTGCCACTAGAGGGCAGCAGTATAGTAAAGATGTCTGTGTAAATGTTGTTTTTTTGTTTCAGACCCGCGTATTCACGTATGTTGTTGGACCACAAGTAACTTCGTCCGGTGGCGTCAAGTATATGGCTTGTGAAAATGAAGGTAAATAAAACACTGTTGAAACTTTATATGTAATTCATGTCTGAAAAACAGAAAATATAATACCGTAGGGATTATGTAATTACTTGTTCTTCAAAGATGTGCTTTTGCTTGCGTATATGTAGTATTTGATAAATAATGTCAATATTTATATTATATCAGATTGTCCACTTTTTACCTATAATTATATGATTGTCAACACATAAACAGCCATAGTACCGATGGCGTGGTGTTTGACTCCCTAGGTCTGTGGAAGTTTAGCGTATATCAATTGAACTTGTTAACAATATATACTTCTATCCTACTCTACCACAGGTTATTTTAGTCGGATACCTGCTGTTGGTGCTATCAGACTTAACACACTGGTAAGTAGAACCAGGGGTAACAAAGTTTAATAGACTAAGAAAAACAACAACGACAATACTGTAAAGGGTTAATTATTCACTGGGTTTCAATTTTGCCTATTTCGCTGACTAGAAAATGAGCCAAATTAAAACCCAGTGTATGTGTAAAATTTAGCATAGATCACATTATCTAAGTGATAAAACCATGAATTTAAAACCCACTGAGTATGCCTGAAATGCTAAATTGGCAAAATTTAACCCGAGTGAGAATTAAACATTTTACAGTAATAAGAAACTTACCTTGTATAGATTACAAAAGTTAACATAGTTTTAATCTTTTTGTAGAATTATGTGAGAGTTTTGAGTCGTCCCATGGCCTTGGAACGTGCCAGAGTTTATCAATGGTCTAATATCTATCTTGATGCTATGGTAAGTCCACTGAATGTTTTTCCTGTGCTAACTTTGGCAATGCTTTTCAGGTTCATCAAACTATTGTGAATTTTCAAATTTTTTGCACATTCACAGATTTTTTCTACAATACAATATTAGCAAAAATAAAAAAAAAATGGTCATCATCCTCATTTATAGTTTATTGTATGCAGTTTAATACATGGGTTTCTTCAATGAAAAATAATAATATAATAACATTTTTGTATGGCTAGTCCTGGAACTAGCAATATATACAAATAGGACCTCTTTTGCACCTAAGTGAGGTTGCTCTCTAATATTGAGTGTTTGGGAAGCAGATTATTGGGTTAACCTTTTTACCATCAGACTGTCTCTCCCAAATGTGTCTGCACTTTTTTTTTTATATTCTTCAATATTTCTTGAAAATGAATCTTATTTTTTGGAGCCAACAGACAAAATTTGAGTTAATTTTCAGTTTTTACTCAAAAAATTTGGCTATTTTTGTCCCAATCTTCAGAAATTGCAGACTGTAAATGGGACTATTTTGTGATAAAAAGAGGGAACTGGTGGTGAAATGGTAAAGACAGTCCCTGGACTATACTAGAGTGTATTGTAATATGTATAAGTCACTGAAAATGTCAAGATTTTGTTTGTTTATTAAGTAGTATCTCATTTTTACTTGTACTTTGTATTCCTGGTATTGCAATTGTGAAGAAAATTTGACCTTTTCGCCACATCACCTGCCAAAATGAAAGGAAAACATTCTGTTAGTACCATCCACTATATAATAATGCTTTCGTTTGCAGGGTCTTGGAATGATGACAACTGTCACATTGCCAGTGTACAACAGAACAACACCTGAAGTAAGTGTCATCTTATTTCCTGAATCTATATGGATATGGATATTTTTAAATTATATTTTCCTGTGATCTCTCTACTTTCGTGTTAGAATTTATGGTATTTCTCATTTTAGCTTTATTTCTATTCCTTAAAGTATTTACTGATGTACGTTGCTTCACTTCATCAATCAGTATATCATTTTCATTTGCAGTTTAGTCATGACCTTTTCTTTGCTATCTCCTTTTTCTTTTCTTGCTTTGACTGTTTTTTGTTTGCTCCATGTACATATAAATTTTACAAGTATGGCAATCACACTGGAAATGACACAAATGTGTGGACGGTAGGTGCTGCTACTTGGCATACCACAGTATTCATCCTATAATGTAGCTAAGTTTAATTGGGGTTCTTCTTTATTTTAATCATAAGCTATCAGATGTATCTGAGATTTTAATACAAAGTACATTATACTAAGATTTATTTGTAGCACTTGATCACAGTCCCTCAAGAAATGGATTGGAAACTCATAAGCTTATTGTTACAGTGCATGTTTCTTTTAATTTTTGTTTATTTACGGAAGATGCAATACTGGATGCTACATTGTATCTCCTTATTAACATTAAATTAACATATGCAATGTTTGCCTGATGTTGAGGGACTGTGGATTGATATAAATGGTTCTTGTTAAGGTGTACTCTCACCTGTATTATATTAGAATCCCTTAACATATGGAGTAATAATGGAGTCGTATACTAAAATGTGATGATATTTACTAGATATTGGGGTTAGAATATTCCTGCTAAATTTAATAGCTGAGTATTTCTCTGTAATTGAGTTTTCAGCAACTTAGGGTGTCCTTGAGTTGCATTGAGTTATCTGATTGACAATCTGAAGATGATCAGTCATGAAGTTATATCAATGCTAGACTCTTGATTAGTTTCCTCTACATCCACTAGGTGTTTCCTCTCATAGTTGGTCACTTTCATGACCTCTAAAGGTCACACATCCTGACACGTTTTTGGATATTTCAGCAAAATGTTGAGTAAAATGTTTCTTAAAATTTTCCATTTGTTCATGTTTGTGATGCTGTCATACCAATAAAAGTACCAGGATGTGTGACCTTCATGGGTCATGAAAGTACCAGGATGTGTGACCTTCATGGGTCATGAAAGTACCAGGATGTGTGACCTTCATGGGTCATGAAAAGTACCAGGATGTGTGACCTTCATGGGTCATGAAAGTACCAGGATGTGTGACCTTCATGGGTCATGAAAGTGGACTATTAGGTTCTTTATGTTTGTGTTTAGTATACACCTGAAGCAGCTAAAATGCAATGCATGAAAGGAATTTATGTTGTCCAGGTAAAAAATAATTCCCCCCCCCTCAATAATCTCAAAATCAATCAAGGTTGCATGGGGTTTACTGAATTTTGTTCACGACCCAAGGTACTTTTTAGGTTAAAGTAATTACCGGGGTAACCAAGATACATATCCTGTATACAAGATAATACAAGATAATGCTTAGAGAGTTAAAGGGTGGTTGTTGTCGCACAGTGCATGTTTGAATTCATGTAAACAAACAATGTATTTTAAAGGCTTTGTACACGTTGCTATGAGTCCCATATCGAACAAGACGCGGTGCGACAGCTACTACTTTATGGTATACAGTACTGTCCAAGTGTAAATTAACATTTTGCTGGCTTAGAACTTTGTCGAGATCTACTTGCTCTTAAAACTGCCATCTATCTGAGTGCAGAGTAATCCACCTAAATATCTCTCGTATGAGTAACCTAGGTAATTATATACTACAAAGAATAAGTTGAATTCATTGATGACAAGGGTGCTTGCTTAAAAAATCATAAGTTCCTATTAATAGGTGCAAACCAACCCGCTTGGATGTTAAGTTAAGCATGGAAGTTACCGTAAGTATACTGTAAAACATGTCTTTTTAGCTAGCACGTTATTTTAGCTAATTTAGCTAATCTGTCTTGCTACATTAAGATGTCGCTAATTTAAAGTAAAGTATATTATCACAGAACGATTGTTGACACTTTAACTAAATTAAGATTCAGTTAATTCATGCATTGAGTCAAATTAGCTAAAATGGCATGTAGCTATTTCAACATGTTTTACAGTGTATATTATGGGAGGAACAGGGGGCTGTCATTCAGTTTTAAAATGTTACAATCTATTGAACATAAAACTTTAGTTGTGTTCATGCTACAAGATCTTGGCAATTATTAATTAATCAACCATGTTTGGTGAGAGATTGGACAGTTGCATTAACATTCATCGACAGCTCAGCTTGTGAGTGTTATGCTATGTGTTATAAATCATTAAAAGAATCTACTTCTCTTACCATTCACACATACGATACATTTGGACACACATCAATTTTATCCTTATATTTAGCATGTGCCGAGTTCTTCAATGTGAACACAACTTCAAGGTGCATTACATTGAATACTGGTTTGTTATATCTTTATTACTTTACTCCATTTATTCATATTCTTTGTTTGTTTTCTCCTGCCTCAATTGACTGGAAATTTTCTTTGTGTTCAAGTAAACACACTTCACTTACTTTATATGCTATATTATTTGTTCAAATTAAGATACTGTCTAATGTAATAGGCTTATCCATGACATGTGTGCATATTATAAGCAATACTTTAAAATATAGATGTAGAATATAAAGGCAATCAACAAATACTTAATTCACTTTCATATTATTTAATAGCATCTATACAACCTCCACTTGTATATAATAGAATATAGAATTAAAAGAAATTGTCATTTTATAGATAAACACTCAAGATATTTTGCAATATTTTGGCAGAACAAAATTATACGAATGTTTTTTTATAATAATACTTGTACATCTATTCTTAGCCATTCATGTCATTATTGAAAGCAAATTAGCCTTAAATACATGTTACAATTACATGTTGATATTATGCTGTAAGTTTAAATGTCTTTGGCACATTTCTTAACGTTCAATATTAGCTGGAAATTTTGTTCTTTTATTCAAAAGTATGTTTTGTATGCCTTTGTAATATTTTCATATCAACACATGAATAAGGTTATGGTATACTGTTAAAACCTGTCTCATTGTTAGTGACTAATGTACTTTTGCATTTAATTCAGCTGAAGAAAAACAAACTGCTACGTAGCATACTAGTCTTGTGTTAATGCATGTACAATATAATTTTTTTTTTCTTGGTGAATATTTGAAACAAATTCTAAATTAGGGATTACCTGAGTTAACCAGATAGTTTTATCCAATAGATGGGTTTCTAATCAAAGTTTAAATTCTTGACCTTAAGTGTACATGCTATAAAAGTAGTTATAGCAACACCTAGTGGTGACCAGGTTAGTTTCTTTTGTTTATGGTATAATATTTGTAGACAAGATTTTCAACAATTATTCAAATGATATAATACTTATCTAAATATTTTGTTGACAGAATCAACAGTTACTTGGTGTGACTGGTACTGATGTCACCATAGCTGACATGGAGGAGCTTATTCCTGAGTACAAGGTAGGATCCTACATGTATTAAGGAAATAAAGTCACCTTGTTTACAAATTATTAGTACCACATAATTTTTTTGAAAATTCCGAATTATATTTTGTGAATTGTCCTATAATTTTTATAATGTCATACCATGCATTTATTTACTACATATTCTGGTTTATTTTTTGTTTAGCAACATGTATTTTTTTAAGTTATTGTATAAGTAAAGTTTGTAATATTGCATGTGGTGTAAGATAGTTAACTTTATTTTTTTTTAGAAAAAGAAATTGGCCAATCATATGTATCACCCCCTAAAATATTGAAAATTTATTTGTATTGCCAAAATATATGATAATTGTTTGGGTAATACAATAATAGAATTAACAAAATGTAACTGAACACAAACGTTCGCACAGCGCAAAACATTTTCATTGCCATTTTGGGCTACTGGTATCTCTCGTCAATTACAAGCAGGAAAAAGATGTACATGTATAATTGTAAGGTTATTATGAGAACACAGCAAAGTATGAACTCAGTCTGTCTGTTGATACAACCACCTTGCTGTGTACTTGTGATATCCTCTTATTACATATATGAATATACCATATTTAGCATACTTCATCCACCATGTTTCATAACTTTACCATATATGGTGTTATTTATATTATTATAGTCTAATTTCTTTACCATACATATTTAGTGTTGTGCATCTCATCATATTCTAATT